AGAATTTCATACCACATCTATACATAATTTTCGTAATCTCAAAATATACTGCTTACAGAGACATGAGGAATAAGTTAATCATAACAACAGATTTTATTCACCAAATATACCGCTTAGGAAGGCAAATGACCTAGAAAAGTGTTTATATACTTTTAATATCAAAATATCTTAACCAATGCTTTCTAACATACCATAAATTACTGAAAATATTTCACACACGTTAATCAATTTGATTCATTTAAAATCAAACAATTAATGAAGAAAACATTTAACCTTATTGATGAAAATAATTACTAACAAGACATCTGACGTGGCAGAATCTAACTCACAGATTTAATGAATTATAATGGTGATTACTAAGAAAAATTACTACTTGTTCTTCATCAGTCACACCATCATCTACTTATTTGGCATACTGGCTGGCAGAAGTACTCATACAGGGACGGATGAAGTAGTTCACTACGTTACAGAATATATAATTACAAACAACTAGGCTGTAGTTATTACAAGTATCCTGAAAGAAGTTTAGTCCAAAGTCAGGTTTAATCATTATATAAGTAGGTTTTAATGTAATCCCAGCGTATTCAGAAAATCAAATCTGTTGAGGAAGCTTTAGCATACATGGCGAAACGCTGAGAAAAATCTTGTTTTGATTATCTAAGTATGCTGGGATTATATTCAAACTTACTTGTATAGTGATTACAGAATATAAGCGGGAACATGAATTACGATGGTGTGCTTCGTTTTGACTGCAAACATTACTGAAACAAGCTGACGACTACGAGTATGCGGAAAACAACTTCACTTAAATTTGAAATAATGGGTCTTCAGACTACGAACCAACCACCACTAGACTTTGATTAAAATGATGACAATTGACTTCATTTAGGTAAATTCAACATCCAAACCTTTGTTTACTGAATGAAAGCTCCACAATAGATAAATTTCAGAAGAGAATTAAGTGATCAAGTGCTTTCTCTAATGCTTGTGGGTGATATTTACAGATTAGGAGCAACCATACTGAATTGATTTTTCATCAAGTGAACACTAGGACACTGATACTTATTCCAATAACAACCGTCTACAATCTCAGGAGAGGTATCAGAAAATAGAGTCTCTAACCAACTGACTAAGTGGTGTTTACTTACTAAAATGACAGACAAACAGACAATATAAAAATAGAACTTGGAATTACTTCAGAAAATCCAAGTTGCAACGCCCCATATCATCATACCACGTGAGAATATACCACAATGACTGAGAAGTAAATAAACGAGGAGACAGTCAAAAGAATTAGAAAGTCATTAAAAGAGAGTAAGAGGGAATAAAACAACGCTGAAATCTAGTGTGACGATTAGGATGATGTGTGGAGACGGCTATGCCACTGAGATAGATTCATAAAGATATCAAGAAGATTTATCAGTTACCAGTTTCTGCCAACACGCGAATCCCAAGCGGAAGGTCTACATTTCCTTACGCGACTCAGATCAGTAGTCAAAGTTTCATGCACTGATGTCATGTTTTAAACTGACCGCCTCGAGACTTTGTGAAGCCTAAACCTACTTTAGCTAACATCAAGCGACGAGGCAGACGGCGACTAGAAATTCGTGACACTTCTATAGATGGAGGTTCACAACTCCATCAGCTGACTTTCCTCTCGTACCTAGAACTCTACATCTGATTTCTACGTTACTCACGTGGTGACACCACGAAACACGGTCTATGTTACAAAGACAACGGTGGTCGAACACCTGAAGCCTTCTCGTATCCCTTACCTTCAGTGACGCTGTTTCACAACTATGTAGTAGAACAGAGTGAGCTTAAGCGCAGTACTCTAGACCTTTAATAGACAATCCGATATCACGGTGGTGCCATATACAGCATAAGTTGACGAAAGCCAATTGAGCCGTTTGGATCCGTGCAGATTTAGTCGGCCACTGACCCACCAGGGCTAATCCGACTTTCAGATAAGCGGAGTGTTTAACGCAACCAACCACTTCACTCCCTACTTATAAACAAGGTACCAATGAAGACGGGTCCTGAAGGAAAAATTTGCATTTGGGTGGCGAGGAATGAACCTGAAACACTCTCAAATTGCCACTCAAGGTGTTAAGAACACTATATCTTGTTAACAACTTCACCTGTGTCCTCTGAATACTCTCAACCTACCAAGGATTTCCCCGTGATAAGATCAATCCCCGTGAAGTCAGATGACGAAAAAGAGGCTTCCCAAAGTACTGTGATGAAAAAGTTGGATAAGGATGGATATCCTTGCTGGAAATGAGACCAACTAGCTAACGATTCAAATACCCTGATCAATAATCCACTGCCACTATCCTTATATAAGTCCGGTAGCAGTCTGTCTGGCCCTGTTACTGTTCCTCGTGTCAAGTTACTTACAACCTTTATAACTTTTGCAGTTGTTGGAAGCCCTATTTTAATGCTCCACTCGGCAACCGACCGAATAACAGACAACAGAATAGTAATTGTAGGCCAGTTTAACTGTTTCTCAGCGTTTCACCCGTCGTTCCAGGAGACTTCTGTGTGAGTGCATTAGCAGACCCGTCATACTCCACAACAGTTTCACTAATGATTGACTTTTTTCTTCGTATGCTTAAACAGCCCTCTACAGTTGCTAATTGAATCTATCCTTTCCATCTCTTCAGCCTTCATTACCCACGGTTATCATGCATACTTTTTGTCAGTCTAAACTTGAGTTGCTTCCGTTAACCAATGTGCTTAGAGCCAGCAGACTGAAGATGGCACCAGGCCATTTCAAAATGTGAAATTGTTCTTTTCCGATAACTGTCTAGCTAGTTTCTTGCAGAAATCGGTCGTAGTATTCTCACCATCGCGCTGAGCTTGCGACACTGTTGATGTAGTTTTCCTATGTCTATTTAGACGCAAACATATATATGTTTGAATGAACGTATCACTGCTGTCCAAACACGCGGTTGCGAAAGATCAGAAATCTTAGATCGGCCCCACCCCGAGATAACTTACCGCTATGTGGTCTATCTATTTCCACCGTTGAGTTGAGGTCGGTAGACAACACAGCAGACAATGTTTCTCTTTTTATCTGAAGTTCGTAAAGACCAGGAAATAATGGTAATCTGAGTGCAGTTGTAGCGATCGCCACCATATGTTCGTTCGATTGGGATCCCGAAAGTGGCACTCAAATGCTTTTCTGGCTGACTTAGCCTGAACACTTGAGTTTTGAAATCACCTGATACGACAACCACAAATGAACGCTCGGTATTCAGTGGGAAGCAGAGATAACAAATAGAAAACGGGAGTTTTACTGTTCATTTTAGTTCTCCCTGCACCATTCAGCTAAACAACGCGCACACGACTGTCAAGTGGGATCCAGACGAAGAGTACACTTCCTGCCATAGCACTTAGCGCTATACCTACATCTGAAGACTCCAAAATTTAGCCATCAAACCTCCAGAAACTCGAAAGGGAATTTTGCTGATTTAGAACATTGGCCAGATGACATTAGGTGAATAACCGTATGCATCTGACAAACACAGCACACGTTCAGTCCCAGACTCTTGAGTTTCGACGTCTGCTTTAGACAGGCCACATAAAGCCCATTAGGAAGTTTGAAATCATAGGTTGTTCCTCTCAAATACGACCATGAACCTATAAAGCCGGCAACGGCATACCACATACACTTATAGGAGCAACAAAATGCATCAGCACCAACTGCTAATCTTGTAATGGAAGGCGAAGAGAGTGACCAATATTCCAGTGTTAACTATCAAACGTCACATTTCGTCGGTCATGTACGTGGAAGTGGACAACTATGAACATGAATCGATCTGGATGGATGAAACAAAGAATATCAGAGAATTCCTACAATCTTGGGCATTCAGGTCAGTCGGCAGCCATTGGCTGTATAGACAGAACAAACCTATCAACCGATTAGGAAAGTGGTGCACAAATACAAGGTCAGATGGAGAAACACAGCCAATGACACAATAATCAAATGAAACTGCCAATCAAAAACCACTTCGTCGAAGCAAGCTACTGAATCACTGACGGAGAAATCCTGACGACTAGTCAGTCATCATATTGAAAGTCGTGGAGATGATGTTGTTTAGACAAACAATGGTAGCTTTATGACAGAACCACTCAACTCAGGGAATGCAACACAACAAAGATCATCCGCTTGAACCACAAATACACTCCATCACTTTAAAGGCAGAACCAACACCCCACGGCTAGTCATCTAAGGGAACTGCTGTCACATCCAATGCAGCCAGCAATATGATATCCCCCTCAGACCCCCCCCCCCCCAACAAAGTGTGGTTGTTAACACTACAACAGTAACTGTTTTTTGTTTTACCAATATCCAACAAAACTTTCTGCTGTGGCTGGACCTCAAGCAAGGGAAGAAGCGTCTCACCAACATATCTTGTTGGGTCATTGTAATATGTAAGCCCGACTACCACGTCAAAGTAGCAGCCATCTGTAGGGTAACATAATGAAATAAACTGCTACTTATGCATGATATATATGGGTGGGGTAATATAACTATTTTTTAAAAGCTCCTGATTCTCCATCTGTTCCTTAGCTTTCTAAAATTCATTTCAGCACATTGTGTGAGAAGTACCTGGTTTCGCAGATTATTCTTTTTGTTATTCGAGTCAAGCTACTACAATAATGATTCTTGTTCACTTGAGGCACTGATTATTGTTTACATTGTTCCGTATCAAGTGTCTAGGCAATTCATTGTTTCTCACTTTTTGGAATGCATGAATTAGCTTTAACAGCCTACACTAGTATGCTTTACCTGTCGAAAACCGTTTGTAATTTACAGTTAAAAAAAACACTAGGAGTTGGAAAAATTGACACACTCACGACCTTGAACGACCAGCAGACGGGTGCGGAATAAACAACAAGGCATACTTAACAAAGAATATTATTTCATAACATAATTAAGGCAAAACAAAGGCAGTTATGCTCAGAAAGTAATAACACAGGAGAATACATTGAAATCAGTAGAATTTACGCCGGCAGTCTTAAGCCACGTCCTTTGATCACTGCAATTTAAAAAGAAGATGGATTAGCAGTTAGTAGACACATCCAACATTATAATATGCTCGAATGGTTTTTCTGGTATGACTGGCATCAGTCTCATGTGCAGAAAAAAAGGTACACAATGTAGATAAATCTGATAATCGACCAGATCAATTAGCTTTTTATTGCAACTTTTTATTCTGCTGGCACAACCAAAGAGAGCAGTCTGAGTACACCTTTTCAGGTCAACGAATAAAGCAGTGCCATGCTTTTAGCGTTACGCATACTTTGCTTGATGAATATTGTGACTACAATATTTTCTTAGTTGGCACATGAGAGAATTTTTCAATTCAGAAGCCTACATGTAAGTCATCACACATGTTTTATTAATGCTATGAGATTATGAAAAGAGTAGACAGCTGTCCCAAAATCTGACATTGAAACCTACGTAACACAGATTATCAGAAGTACTTCTTAAGTATTACTGCTCAATTTCGAGAAGATGGAATATATAAGATTAACGAAAAATTCAACAATTTCAGTGAAGGTCAAAGTATCAACACAAAATAAAAAAGCATCTTATATATATATATATATATATATATATATATATATATATATATATATATATATATATATATATATATTCAATGGTATTTTCTGTGGGTTATGTTACAGCAGTATAATTTATCTACATCCCATGTCCATTCACTGCCAGTCAGTTAATATCACTATAGGACCATATATCACTACATTATCATCCACGTTACTGTGCCTCATACCTGTACATCAAGATACGGGACAAAAATGATTAGAAAGCAAGGTAATATAAATATCAAAACAAAAGTAGCACAAACCTGTGGAGTGAAAAGAAACGGCGAAAACGGAAATGATAAAATGTGATATAAGGTTAAGGTGAAGATAAGATAACGCATTTCACAGCAGCAATGGGTAGAAAAGGAGTAATAATGCAGCAAATAAAGGTGTTCGGCAGAAGATCATCATCATCAATATCAACATAGGACCAGGCATTACTGCATAACGGTCCCAATTGCCACAGCTCATATCAGTACATCAAGTGGAAAGGGAGCGAGGTGAAGGATGAAGATAAGAGATGCGGTCAAAAGAAATATAAAGTGCAAAAAGAGAGGAACAAAGAATGAGAAAATGGTGAGATTCAGTATAGTGTCGTTAAGATGAGGATAATGCGTGCGTGTATCTATGCCACTGACATCGGTTCTCAGCCATATCACCTAGAGTCTCTAACCACTGATTCCTCTTGTCCCGCAGACCCCAACCACCTAGTCTGCATCGCCCCACACGGCTCAAACCAACAGTCAAAAACTTCATGCATTGGTGCCATGTTTTAGTCTGGCCACCTCGGGCCGTTTTCCAGCCTCAGCCTACTTCAGCATACATGGTGTGACGAGGCAATCTGCGACTAGGCACATGTAATACGCGTCCAAACCATTTCAGTCGATGAAGGTTCATAACCTCATCAACTGACCTGCTATACTCCCTAAAACTCCACATCTGACGTCTGCGTTACCCATATGGTGACACCACGGAATACGGTCTATACTATACTACGAAGGCAACGGTGGTCAAACACATGAAGCCTTCTCATATGTTACACCTTGAATGGCCATGTTTCACAGCCATTCAGTAGTACAGACCGGACTGCTGAGTGGTACATGCAACCCTTAATAGACAATCAGATATCACGGCGGTGCCATAGGTGGCGTAAGTTGACAAAAGCCAGCCAAGCTTTTTGTATTCGTGCAGAGATTTCATCGGCCACTCACCCACCAAGGCTGATTTGACTTCCCAATAAGTGAACTGTTCAACGCACTCAATCACTTCACTCACTATTGTTAGACAGGGTACCGTTGGAGATCAGTCTTGGAGCAACTATTTGCATTTGGGTGATGAAAATCACATCCCAAACATTCTCGAATCACCACTCAAAGTGTTCAGAAGACTCTGTGTCTTATTAGTCAGATCTTCACCTAACAGGACTATGTCATCTGCATATTCTAGGTTTAACGAAAATTCTCCACCGATTAGGTCAACGTCTATGTAGTCAGGTGACGAGAGGAAGACCTCCATGAGAATATCTATGATGAAATTGAATAAGAATGGAGAGTGGGCACCCTTGACGAACACCACTCGATAGGCATAGTTCCCTGGACATCTCATCATAGGATCTAAGATGCCCACAAGTGTTTGAGTAAAGAGCCTTCAATAAGGTGATGTACTTGCTCGGCACGCCTTTCAGTGAGAGACATTGCCATAAGACTCCTCGATCAACGGAGTTGAATGCAGCCGCCTCCAGGTCGAGAAATACAGCTAGCGTTGGGGTCGGTAAGCGTGCCTATGTTCCAGGACCTGGCGCAGTGTGGATATTTGGTCAATACACCCACGACCAGGTCTACAGCCTGCTTGGTTTTCTCGGGCTTGCTGTTCCCGAGCTCCACTCAGGCGTCGGAGAATTATAGAACCCAGAATCTTGGACACTATATCCGTCAGGCTGATTCCTCTGTGGTCATCAGAAGAGGACTTCTCGCCTTTCTTGAAGACTGGGATAAACAGTGATTGAGACCAGTCAGAGGAGATCGTACTTGGTTCCCATATACTGGTTAACACTTCCGTTAACCTGACTAAGAGCACTGCACCACCATCCTTGTATATATATGCCAGGAGTTAGTCCGTCTGGTCCTGCCGCCCTTCCTAGTTTCACGTTACCTACTGCTTTTTCGACTTCTGCTAGTGTTGGGGGCCTATCTCAATGTTCCATTCAGCATCCGACTAGATAGCGGTCAACGTAATCGTGGCTGGAGGCCAGTTAAACTGTTCCTTGAAGTGTTCTGTCCATCGTTCCAGTCGTCTCCCCTGTGAGTGAATCGCAGATCCGTTCTTCTCCGCTATAGCCTCACTAACTGTTGTTGACTTTTCCCCCCAGTCTCCTTAATAAGTCTACATAACTGTCTACTGTTTCCAGTCGCCCACGCCTTTTCCATCTCTTTAGTCTTCGCTGCCCACCACTGTTCGCGATCAATGCGTAGACTTTTTTCAGTCTACTTTTAAGTTGCGCTCGCTCTTCATTGTACTCAGAGCCTGCAGGCAGGGATGCGTTCACGTGCATCCATTAGTTTGAAAGAACCTGTTGATATCCACTGGCTCTTTGTAGCCACTATTTTGGAGTCGGTTACAGTATTCAGTGCTGCTTTTACAGCAGACTGAAGATGGCACCAAGCTTCTTCTGGATGGGTGACAGTCTTTTGTTCCGATAACTGCCTAGCCAACTTCTCACTGAACACGGCTTTGGTGTTTTCGTTGTCCAGCAGCACTCGTAGTGGTTTTGTTGCCAAATTTTTCTTACGTCTATTGAGACGCAGGCATATACGTGCTCGGACCAACGCATGATCGCTGTCCAAACACGTACTCCAGAAGGAGCGGCAGTCTTCCACCGATCCTCTCCAGCGATGACTAATAGCAATGTGGTCTATCTGTATCAATCGCTGAGTTGAGCTCGGTGAACGCCACGTCAGACAGTGCCTTTCTTCATGTCTGAAATTGGTGGTGGCTTAAAATAGGCGGTTATCTGAGCATAGTTGTAATAGGCGATCACCGTTATCTGTACGTTCAGCTGGGATTTCCGAAAGTGCCACCTAAGTGCCTTTCTGCCTCACTCAGTCTACCCACCTGTGCATTGAAATCATCTGCAACAACAACCACGTCTGAAAGTGTGGCTTTCGAGAGGAGGCTAGAAAGTTTTCGGTAGAACTCATCCTTCACTTCATCCGAACTGCAGTCAATGGGTGTTTAAGCAGAGATTACAAAGAGACAACGGCAAGTCTCACAATTCCTTTTAGTTCTCACTGTACCGTTTAGTCGATAGCGCAGAAGCGACTATCAACTGGGACCCGGTCTAGTAGTGAGCTTTCTGCCCTAGTGTTTAATGCTATGCCTACACCTGCAAGACCATGAGAGCTAGCCATCAAATCTCCAGAAACTCGAAGGGTGAATTTTGCACATTCACCAGATTGGTCAGGAGAGGCTCAGGTGAATAACTGCACTTGGGTCGTTGTATGCAAGTCTCACAAACACAGCACACATCCATGGTCCGAGTTGCTAGAGTATTAGCCGATGAAGCCTGATGACCAATTTGACGGAGGGTGAGGACATTGAAGGCCCCGATGTGTAATTTGCAGTGTAGTTCAAGGAGACCAGAGATGCTGTTCTGTGGACTCAGATCGTTGTCGAAGACTGCAGAGCTGGGAGAAATTGAAGATGATGTAGTATCGTTAGTTGAGAGACGTGAAGAAAGATTAGAAGGTAATGATGAGGGAGATGGATAGCAGTACGGAGGAACTTGAGTGCTGATAGAGTTGTGAGGGCGGTTGATACTTTGCGGCTGCTCACACCGTGGAAGGTTATTTCTTCTTAAGGTACCTGAAAGAGATTTGTGTGACGACAGAGCCCGTCAGACGTCTGCTGGAGGCCTGTGAGTGTGATTTTTTTGAACTTTTGTATTTTTGGGGCCAGATGGTCGAGAGGAAACGACAAATGAACCAAAACCGCCGGCCCGGCAGACCGTGGGGTGTGGTGGAGTGTGTTATTTTCGGGGGCCTACGTTTTCTAACCCCTCTTCCACTGAGAAGGCAGCATCAGCATGGCAATGCTGATCATCCAAGGGAAACATCTTACTGCTATCATATCCCATCCAGCTAGCAGCAGTACGACTTCGTCCTCAGACCCCTCATCATAGTGTAGCAATTTACACCATAACGGTAACTGCTTTTCGTCTAACCACTATCCAACAGACCTTTCTGGTATGGTAGGACCTCGAGGGAACAAGTGTTCCACCAGCATAGGTCGTTGGGTCATTGTGATATGCAAGCCCGACCACCTCGTCAAGGTAGCAGCTATCGGTCGGGATACGGCAGAAGAACGAACTTCAAAATTAAGGTTATTGAAAATCTTCAAGCTTTAGAAAATGTCATAGAAGAAATTCTCGCCATTGTGACCGATTTTCAACCGTGACATCAAGGGTCTCCAACCACTGATTCCTATTGTCTCGAGAATCCCAACCAGATAGTCTTATACACCTACTTACACGACTGAGATCAACGATCAAAGACTTCAAAAACTGATGGCACGCCTTGGTCTGGTAACCCTGAGTCTACTTCTAACTCGATCTCACTTCGGTTGACATTGGAAGTCTGAGTAGGTAGGTGACGGCTTGGGGACGCCTTACATATGTCTAAACCATCTTAATCGGTACAGGTTCGCAACCTGGTAGACTGACCTTTCTAGTAACCTACGTTTAATGTCGAAATTCCTCACTGATTAGTTCCATCATACTTGAGCAATACAGCAAAAACACCTGTCATTGAAAACTGTAATCTTTTCATATGATCTACTTTCAAAGGTCATACCGCAGTCGTATAATAAGACAGCGACACATTCAACCACTTCACTTTCTGTCATTAAAACTGGGAGTACTTGCAAGACCCGTAATGAAGCCTCAACTTACGTTCGACAGGTGCCATATGTATACCATCCGAACATACTCTGATTTCTGCTTAACGCCTTCAGAAGATTCTGCATTTTGTCAGCGTCTGTGCACTCCAGGTGCCTTCCAGGGAGTAGGTCAATCTCAATGAAGTCAGAGGTACCTAAATTTATGTTGTTTAATACAACTGCAACGAATTGGAACGGGATCGGTGACAGTGAGTGAAAATGATCGACACCACTGGTTTTCATCGATTCATTTGACAACTCTTCACATAACCTTACACAACTGAGTGAGTTCCAGAAGAGATCTTTGATTAGTGTTACATAGTTGTTCCGTGCTACCTTCACAGACAGACGCTACCACAAAAACTTGTTAGTCGACAGGATCGAGAGCGCCACCTTCAGGTCAGGAAATATGACAGGTGTTGGAGTATGCATGTGGTTTAAAACCAGTTTGACAGATGGAGCTCTTAACGATGAACCCTTGTACAGGTCCAAAACCTGGATGGTACTCTACAGTTTACTGTTCTTGATTTGCAGTTAAGCGTTGAATAACTATGGGCCCTAGGATCTTGAACACGATGTTAGTTAAACTGATCTCACCGTGGTTGCCACAAAAAGAATTCTCTCTCGAATGAACTGTCAAGTCGGCCGGTCTGATTTCCACTTACACTCCCCAGTTTTTCCATTTTTCTACACAGTAACTTTTCAATCCTAAGCTTAAAAACTTCGGGCGCCAAGCCATCAAGTAACGGTGGTTTGCATCGTTTCAGGTATGAAACAACGTCAACTTTGGAGACAGACAAATAACCAACATCAACGTCCAAAATTAGTTCGATGTGCATCGTGAGCAACTGTTGTTTCGCTACAGGCCGGTTGGACTGTTCTTCAAGATGTGCTGCGCAACTTTCCATCCACCAGTCTGAGAGGTCATCAGCAACCAATTCCTTTTGGTGATGATCCCGCTAACCATCGTTTTCCTTTCTCAATCTTCAATAATGAGGCCTGATAACTACCAGGATCCCCTAATCATGAGGTTACTTTCATCTTTTTCGCCTTCAGTACCCACCACAACAATTGGGAAGACTCCTAGTTAATTTACGTTTAAATTTCTCTCGCTTCTCATTGTGGTCACAGCTAGTTGGAGTGAGTTTCCTCGCATCGCTTAGTTAAGGTGAGGTTGTGGAAATTCACCGGATTTAGTTGGCCTTCAGATGAGGGTTAGAAATTTTCTTTACGTCTGTTCATAAAGCAGGCTAAATATCACGCCGGTTTCATCAGAAAGAAAATTATTACATTTAGATAAATGCTTAATTATCTCCTCTCTAAAGCAGCTCTCTTAGTCGAGTACACAGAGCGTCAGTGCTGTCTGTTTCCTGCGATTAGTTGGGTGCAAACATGCACGTACGCGTATTAATGTGACTGCAGTTCAAGCAGGCACTCCAGTAGAAGAGGTAGTCCTCTACTGTTCTCTCCAACCATGGTTGACAGCGGTATGCTCTATCTGTCTCAATAGATGGTTTGATGTCCGCTGATTCCAAAAAAAGCCAGTGTCCTTCGATCTGCTTGAAGTTATGGTTGGCTAGAAACAAGTGATTGTCAGAACAAAATTGCAACAGACAATCACTCTTGTCGACTCACTGGATGGGATACCGTAAACACCTCAAAGACACCTAGTAAGTTGAGCTTCCCTATTTGAACTGGAGCTGAAGTTACCTGCGATACGGTTATGTCTGAGCATTTCGCTTTGCAAAATTGACAGTTTTTAATAAATTTCATTCTTTGTATCATCCGAACTGCAGTTGTTCTACCCCCAAACTGAAATTAGTAATTGAGATCAGTGAGTGCCACGATCATTCTCAATCCTTATAGGTTCAAGCAGTCGGATAGCATACAGACGGTTATTGACTAAAATCCAGTCGAGAAGTGCACTATCTGCTCTACAAGTTATTCTAATACTTACACCACCAAGTTCACAAAAGCTAACCATTGAATGTCGCAATGAATTTCACAGTCTCATTGCACCAGTCAAATGACGTCAAGTGAATAACCACACTCGGGTCTTGTATGCGTGACTTAGAAATATACCGTATGTCCATAGCTCTAGGTTTCAAAGTTTCGGCAAGAGATGCATACATGATTTAGGGTAGGGCCCAGGCGTTTGAAGCTTCAATGTGAAATTGACGTTGGGGTTTTAAGAGAATAGGAATGATGTTTAGTTGGCTTGGATCGCTAGCAATGGTTGCAGACTGAGAGGTTGGTCAGGTTTAAAGAAGCTTAATATTGGTATCAGGAAGTGAAGGCAAAGGAGGTAAAGAGGTGGGTAGAGAGGGTAGGTTATGTTTAATGAAATTTTGCATTCTGCTAGAAGTATGCGGGTGGTTGTTTTTTTCTGGCTTCCTAAACAGCATATGGTAGTAAGCTGTTTTGAAGGCTTATCTTTTCAAATAGGCGGTTCCTATAGGGAGGCAACATCCGCATGATACAGATGGTCATCCGCAACAAACAAATTACTGCCTTCACACACATTTGATCAAGTAGCATTATGATTTCACTTACGGAACCATATCACAACGCTGTAATCTACAATATAACGTCAACTATACTTCGTCTTACCGCCATTCAACGGACGTTTTTGAGACGTCAGGGACTCAAGGGATAGGCGCTTGAAATGAAGTAGCTTGTTGGGTCACTGTTGGTGGGCGAATCACTTAGTCCCAAACCATCAGTTTCGGGCGTTTAGTGGACACCAATCTAGGAGCCTATGCAGACGAGACTGACAGACGGACCTTATCATACTACAACGAAAACCAAAGGTAACCATCAAGTGATGTATTTTTGGCTCACTGCCTATCTGTTTGTATTGTGTTGTAGTTAATCAGCACATATAGTAGCACACAAGTTTTTGAAATACACCAGGAACACAAACAACACTATAATCAAAACTGTGAAATAGAACTTTCTTGAATAAGTCACATCTATTATGTACGAAAAACTTGTTAACTCACCTTTAGTTACATACAAGTAGAAGAAGTCGCAGTAAAGTAATGTTTGTACAATGCCCGCAATAACAGCGACATAGTCAAGATAATCATCATAGTAATAACGATATACCCAATTAAGTAAATACAAGGCACGATAACATCCCAATGCAAATAAGTAATGAGAGGTGATTGTTTCCGCTTCCCCCGTTTTACTAATCATGAACAATTGAGGCATAATAGCAACAGATTCCAAATAAATTGAGAAGGCCCATAGATCTACAAATAACCCAATAAAAGAACAGAAAACAAATTTCGACTTTAAAAATGAAAAAAACGCGAACACTAATATTCCACTGATTGGAGACGTAAAATAAGAACGTCAATACAGCATTCAAACCCCATCATCCAAACAGACTGGAATTATTATAATTTCCAGTGTTATTGTTGTTAGTATCGACTATATGAATTCCAGCATGGTAATCAACTCCTCAAATATTATGCTATTTTATTAAGGACGGAGAGACGGAAAATGAATTTATAGAAGATCATTCACTAAATTAAAAAGTGATGGCAATAATATAAATAACATTTATCATAATGATAAGAATTAAAATTTACTTCTAACAATGGCAAGAAACGGAATAAAATAAAAGTCTATAGAAAATAAGAAATTAGACAAATCTAGTTGCAAATATTTGATTATTACACGGACGACAAATCTGTGCACCGTAGAATCAACTAATGAATCAATGTATGATATAAAACAAAATTGTAACGTAAAATATGAGTGATTACACTAACTGCAGGTAATTTTACCTAAAATTAAAACTTAGCATAGTGTGTGTGTGTGTACAAGTTGATTTATGGAACACGGCTATCTGACTATAATAATTTCAATTTAATACACATTTATAATGCGAAAGGATTTTTTTTTCAACTTTGATTTTGATGCTGTACTTTATGAACTATGATGCTGTCCGGATACTTTGACCGAAACGGGTGGTTTGCTTGAAGAATCAACCCTGGGTGCCTTACTAATAACTAACCCCCAAGACACTGGAAAATGCTCACATGGTTAACTAGTTCACTAGTTACTAGCCGGTCCTAAGCCCGGATAAAAATGGAAGGTTGGGCATACGGCTAGCAACCCTACCCCGTAAAACAAATCTAACCGATAAAGAAACTTCAAAGCACAAAAGAAATATAAAATAATAACAATTATTCCTCGCTGGAATCGGAGAGACGAATTGACGCCAGTTCGTGAAAGCCTGCCTTCGGGAAGCTAATTAGCCGGGCCGATGTGTCTTCTTTCTCTCGATGAAAGCGAAAGCAAACATGGGGACATGGAATATCCGCACCATGTTTGAACCCAGCAAGGCAGCCCAGATTGCAAACGAGATGAAGAGGTATTACACTGAACTGCTTGGAATTCGCGAAGCAGATGGAATGAGAGTGGACGCTACAAACTGTCAACTGGAGAATCAATAATCTACTCCAGTCACCCAGACGACAACCACGAGCACACTGAGCAATGGGAGTGGCTATCATGATGTCCCCAACAGCATCGAAGGCTATCGAAGGTGATGAAAGAGAATGGAGAATTGTTTGCAGAATTCTGTGCATTCAACAATCCACGAAGCTACATGGATTTGATTTCACCAGACACCAGGACACACTAAAATCAAATCGACTTAATCTCAATCTCAAGAAAATGGAGACGCAGTCTACTTGACACAAGATCAAGAAGAGGAGCAGATGTAGGTTCACACCACTCACTTCACTATCTAGTGCAAGGAACCTAACTTCAAAATTAAGTTGAAAGCCTTCAAGGAAGCTGGTGATAGACCACAGTTCAAGTACAACACTCGGAACAGAAACAGAAGGACGAAACTACAAAGGAAATCTTCACGGCAGCCAGCCATCAAGACAAAATGGGAGATATCGAGCAACATCCCTGAAGAAGCAAACCTCCGTGGAAGAACACTGGAAGTCTTTGAAAGAGATGTGGAAAGAAACCTGCACAGCCGTATTAGGAAGGAAGAAGAAAGAAGATAAGGAATGGATCCCGATGGACACATGGAAGCTGATAGATCAGGGAGAGGAGCATGGTGAAGCAGAAGATCAACCAGTGGAGTGCAAGAATGAACGACGAGAAGAGGAACTGAGTACAACCTATAAAACACTAAACTGGACAAAGAAGTGAAGAAGAGTGCACGCAAAGACAAAAGACACTTCCACAACACACTGGCAAGTGAAGCAGAACAGGCTGCAGGTAAGAGAGACCTGACAACATTGTATCAAATAACCAGGCTACTCACTATCTGGGAAGAGATCAACGCAGACGAAACCAATAAAAGATGATGAAGGAAATTTAATTACCAAAGATGAGAAACAAGGGAAACGATGAGTTGACCACTTCGAAGAGCTCTTGAATCGACCACCACCACCACCTGCACTTCGTCCAGAATACCACCTGCAGCCCAACCACAGAACTACAAGTGAACAAAATACTCCAACAAAGTGGAAGTCTTGAACGCCATAAAGCAGCTGAAATGTGGGAAAGCAGCAGGACCAGACGGGATCCCTCCAGAAGCACTGAGAACAGATGCAGAGGCAACAGCGGACATGCTCACACCACTACTGCAGAAGGTCTGGAAGGAAGAGAAGGTTACCTGCCAACTGATTGGAAGAAGGGTTACCTTGTCAAACTCCCGAAGAAGGAGATCTCAGTGTTTGCAAGAACTGGAGCGGAATCACTCTCCTGTCCCTGTCCACCCAAAGCAAGCAAGCAAAATATTAAGCCGCATCATCCTAGAGAGACTAAAGATGCACTGGATTCAAAACTACGACCAGAACAGGATGGCTGGATTCAGGAAGTACAAATCATGTGCCGACCAAATTGCAACGCTACTCTAGACGCTACTCATAGAACAGAGTATAGAAGGACAGTCAATTCTCTACCTCAACTTCATCGACTTTGAGAAGGACTTCGACAACGTCGACCGACAAGTAATTCGGCAGTTGCTTCAACACTACGGAATACCATAAACTTTTACCAACCTCATTCAACAACTATATGAGGACGCCACATGCCGGCCAAGTAATTCACAATGGAAGCTCAGTGATGCTTTTGAAGTAAAGACAGGAGTGAAACAAGGCTGTCTACTATCACCCATGATATTCCTGATGTAGTGGACTGGACTGGATCATGCGACAAACAGTGAGGAGTGAGAAGATGGGGATACGCTGGACCGAGGAAAAGAACCTAGAAGTGTGGACTTCGCCGACGATAATTTATGTCTAACGTCGCACAAACTCGAAGATCTGCAGGCGAAAACTAACAAGTTGACCTAGGAGGCGAGGCAGCGAAGACAGGACTTCATGTGAATGTAGAGAAGACAGAGGTGATTATGATACCCAACCAATACCACCACCACCGCCACCAACAACGAGCTCCAATCTCCATCAACGGGAGGAACTTGAAGGAAGTAGTCTCTTTTACCTATCTAGGAAGCACTGTTTCAACTACAGGCGGAAGCACAGACGAGGATGTCGAAGCCAATCAGAATCGGAAAAGCAAGACAGGTGTTCATGAACCTGAAACCAGTGTGGAGATCTTCTGCACTCAGCATGTGGAACAGGATCTGGATTTCTAGCACCAACTTCAAGTCAGTGCTTCTATATGGTTCAGAGACTTGGCGCGTTACGAAAGGGATTTCCAATAAACTACAGACATTCATCAACAACTGCCTACGCTCGCTACTGAAGATCAGATGGCCAGAAAGAATAAGCAACAAGAAACTCTGGCCAGCCAACGAACCAACCAAGATCCCATCGCTCAACAAATATGCATTGGAAGGAAGTGGAGATGGATTGGCATACACTGAGAAGGCCGACTGAGGACATCACACGCCAAGTGAGGCCCTCGAGTGGAACCCCGATGGAAGAGACGAGTTGGGCGTCCCAGCTGAGGGTGACATGGAGGAGATCGTGCGAGGATGAAATGAGAGCTTCTGGGCTGTCGTGGAACCAGGTTCAAAAGATTTCAGAGAACAGATTTCACTGGAGACGTGCTACTGAAGCCCTATGTTCCATTAGGAACCCAAGGGACTAATTATTATTATTATTATTATCATTACGATTACAATTGTAATTATAATTATAATAAGACATTGGAAAATACCTATACTAGACCAATGCTGTTCGGTATAGAAAACCTGTTTCGGTTAAGAAATCTGGAGCATATGCTGCTTGGAACTGCTTGTCAAAGAAACGATGGCTAATCACACTAGATGATGGAATGAATCAGTGTGATTACTCACAATTTCAGTAGTGAAGAAAGTGGTGGGTTTACTGGTTACATTTGGCCGTACAAGGTAAACAATTCCTAGAAAATGTAGGTGACAGGTGAAAATATTTACAAACGAGAAATATGCGTCCAATATTTTCGTCATTTGGAATATTGAATATATTACTGTTTCAGGCTTGTTTTGCCCTCATTTGTATTTATTTCTTCACCTTTCTATTATTAGCACTGTTTTCATTCTGTTGATTTAACTTCATTATTTTATTGTCAATTATGACATAAAATGAAATACAATTGTAAAAGTTTGTCACGTAGTCAAAGTTGTAGTTTAACAGAAGGATAAAATAAGATTATCAAAATCTTACTCAGTTAAAGCGAACTCATAGTTTTGCCACCAATCCCAATAGCAAACTAGGTACCAGTAACAAATAAACGGCAAAAGTATCATGATTTGAATCATAGGTTGCTTTGAATTTGAAATACATCAAGTAGACAGTTGCACAGGAACAGCCAATGAAGAAGATTTTCATAATCATGTTATACAATGATATGAAGGTGAAAAATAGATCCAGATAACGAGAGATGAAAACAATAGCAAAGAGAAGTTGTGATTTTCCGGAAAGTCCTATTGAAACAAATGCAAATAAGTTGAAAGACAAAGATACTTGAAGAATAAATGCTCACTTCAGAAAACTAACAGATTAAGACTGACTTAGTTGAAGTATAAATCAGTCATCATTATGAGTAAAGAGGCTAAGATTATATCACAATGCACACAAACTCATTTAAGTAACCGTTTATGATGTTTTCAAGCTTCCCTCTACTTTTAGTAACTCAACACAGACACTCAGGAGAAAAAAAATGAGTGAATACGCTAGTTCTGTAAACAAATTAGCTATGTAGTATGATCACTACATGAAAGATAAGTCGGTTAAATAATTGTCCGTGGATGTCACATCTAATCAATCTTTAGAAACTTCGAAAAACAGTAGTGTGTACTGGTATTTTAAAATGTTACCATTTTGTAGATGAATCAAGTTATTGGAGAAAAAACGTGAGTGAGAATACAAGCTGAGATGAATCAAATTAGGAACACACATTATTAAATGATAGACAAAACATTACTCTACTACTGAAAAGAAGAAATAATTAAGTAGTTGCTAAGTAACGAAAGGAATTAAAAATTTTAGATTTAATTATTTGATATTTGTATTTCCCAGAAATTAATGAATCAAATTTGTTTTATATTCATTGGGGAACAAAAATACCAAAATAATGAATATCATTTATCCAGTGACAAAAAATTTCCAAACCATCAAATCCCAACTTGGTTTTGACATCTGCAGATTTTAGAGTTAATGTACAACACGAAAATGATAAAAATCAACACTGGTAAATCAAAGTAAGCTTAATAGTTTATTCTTTATCTTTCTTCACACATAATATTTATTATAGCATGCACTCAAGAAGAATTTAAACACTGAAGCAATAAAAATATAAAGAATGCAAACTAATTATGATGAAAAAGCATAAATGAGATGCCCTAATAGGATTAGAAAGTTTTCAAATGGGTATATGAATAAGGCATTCGTCTGAAAGGGACAAATGGAGTGACGTTAACTTTGAGGAAATGTTAGTCTAAGTTTAAACGCCAGAAAGCATAAAAATAGATCGAATGGACAATATACACTCATACTAAGCAGTAGAAATTTAGTAGTTGGTTATAATTTACTTCAACAATGTGATTTATTTAAACTTCTTGATTTAAATATTTTCGGATTTCTTGAAGACAGCTGATCTTGCTTTATTGCAGTTGTCTATCAGAACTTCATAATGTTCTCCACTAACTCTCTGTTCAAAAGACAAAGTCAAAGCAGCAACAAGTATCGGTAAAGTATGACTATTTCAATCCCCCACTGTTCATTAGGAAAGACAGACTGCACATAAGACCTTTAAATTACTGTTACGAAAAGGGACTAAATACTATTTTCTAAATTCCTCCGGTAATAGGCAGGTTGAGGCATAGTAATTTTTGGTAGCACTGCATTTGACAAAGTTCTAAGCCGATGAAGGGAATTTCAGATTAATGAACACAACTAGTTATAAACAATAAGTCAGTGTTTAAGAATCTGTGACAATACAGATGTCATCAACAAAACTTTAGCTTAGATCGGGTTTTGAAATTATATTAATAAATAAGTAAATATTTTATCCTCACATTGATATATGTTAAAAATCTACAGGATTTTACGGGTCCTGAATGTAATGGAAAGGAAGTCATTAAATTCTATTAAAAATAGAAGATTCTACTAGTTATGAAACTAAAAAGAAAATATCACTTTTCAGCATGTACAGAGTATTAAAGTTTAGATCGTTTTCATCCATACTTTTTCACCATAAGTGGTACCAAGGTCGTGCAAAATTCCAAATTTATGTTACAAGCAGTCGACATGTTTGACTTGTCTTCATAGTGCCATATTAGACCACATAAACGTCTATTTTACCATGAATTTTTTATCTTCATACCTTCAAAGACCAAAAGGACCCAAACTGACGATTTCTAGAATCAGTAAGTTTTCATATAATCATGTAATCCAAGTGAATATCTACGTTCAAGCATTTCTTGCTCTTCAGGCGGTACCATTCACAGCGATATAGATTTACGCCATCAGAATTAGATATTGTGCTGCAGAAGAATAAACATTTGAAGACCTGCAAACCAATGGCAATGGATTTTTATACTGCTCACGTTAAGGTACCCAGCATTATCAAGGAGGTATATTCACTGTTAGATGAAGTACTAGAGAAGTTAGTTGCATAGCAATGTTTTGAATATCCTATGCTTATTCGTAATCTCCCCCTACACACCCACCGACTGTAGTTCGGATGATGCAAGGGATGAGTTCTATGAGCTGTCAACTTTGCTATAGAAAGCGAAACGTTCAAATATGGTCACTGAAGCAGGTAACCTTAAAGCTCAAGTAGGGAAAGTGGGTTCATTTCAATGCACGTGGATAACTGTGGACATGAATTCAATGTAGAAATGCAGAAATTTTGGACAGACGAGACACAAAGAATATCAGAGAATTCCTAGAAGCTTAGTACTCAGGTCGATCAGCAACCAATACATGTATAAAAATAGACCCAATCTATCAACGAAAAAATCACAGGTTCAGCGGGGAAACAGCCAACAAGAAAAGCTATGCAGTCAATGGCACAAAAATCAAAGAAAACAACCAATCACAAACCACTTCATCAGGGCAAGCTACTGACGGAGAGATACTGACAACTCACTTCAGAGTGAAGTTAGTGTCTAGAAAGACAATGGAAGCTCCAAGATTAAACCATCCAGCTTAGAGAACATAATCAAGACCACCCAGCTGAGCTACAAACATTCCCCACCATATCAAGTCCATGACTGTTGGTATGAGTCGTGTGGGGATATGCAGACCACCTGACTGGGCTCCCTCCCTGAGGTGATAAGGATCCAGTGGTTAAGAATTCTTGATTATATGGCTACCAGAAATTTTCCGTCAAATATATTTTATCATATTCCTCGCTTCCAATTTTTAAAACTCTTTTAATGATGTCTCTTAAATGTCACATCCTCCCGCACGCTTTTTAAATGTTTTCAAACAGTATTTTTTAAGCCAACAACGAAACAAAGGAAAAGTGTTACGCCGATAAGAAATGGATTTATAAATACAAGGAAATGCAGCACATCGCTGCTTCTAGGAAACGTATGTCGAATTGCAGATTTTTGTACTGAGTGTATACACTACCATCACGAAAATTTCGCTCTATTTCCTATTTACTCAGTAGTCCAGACTGGAAGCTAACAGGCAATAATTATTTGGTCTGAAAATATCGCACAAAGAATGAGCTTGCTGAAATATGAAGTGTTGGGAATTCCGCGTTGCATTACACATGTCTAGAATAAAGCGATTATTACTATTAAATCGGTCACAGCAGCGCAAACTTATTCACTTCTTGACGTCTTCTGAAGCCTGAATGTTGACGCAAACCTTCATCATCACACTGTTTCTTCACTCGTACATTTTTGTTCGCTTTCATATCAAACTTTTTCGATCCACTTGTTTTGTGCATACTACAGTGAAGTGTGGTAACTTGAACCGATGAACTGTGCAAGGTTCTATGTTGATTTCGTCTGTCTTATGAAAGAGCTTTTAGTACACGCATTGTACTATCTTCGTGCTACAATAAATCACTAAATACTAGCTCTACTGATGCGTATATAGCTATACCTTTATGTACCAAATACAATGGCTGACTTGTTTTTCGGGATAATGACCACAGAGACAAAAATACACCCTGATTAGGTTTCAGGCCATGACGATTTAATTAGAAAATGACTTTTTTGCTATAATTTAGACCAATTTCTTTAGAACTAAAATAGATTAATTCAGCACGATATCTATCAAAGAGACTGAATTACAAGTAATCATGGACCTTAGACTAAGTTGTACTGAACCTTCATTCTTATAGTACAGGATTCAAGCCAAAAACACATGCGTACTTACAGTTACTATCCTTTTGTAATATTTAAGCACATTAACTTTTGTTCTTATCTAAATATGACTAAAGTACGTAATATCTATTCCCTGTTAATGGCAATCAACTAAGATTTTTGAAAATTCCCATCTCAAAACAGTTTAGTGAACACAATATTCTTTCAGACACTTTGCCGCTCAGCTTTAACAGTCATTTATTTATATTGGTCAGTCAAACTAATAAGCTGAGATTTTATTACGGAAAATAGCTACCAACTAACAGTCCGCGAATCCTCTCCATCACGAGGGACTTAGGCGGAAAAAAATGCCAGAATCAAGCATTACCGAAATTCAGTTTAAAATCATTATAACAAAGCATGTTTCATGTAACACCGAGTGATCAGGATTGATTGTCGTAAAGAGCTCTGATGGAAGGTAAGTTAATTATGGACGACAATGAATTTGATGGTAATAACTGCCATTAAGATTTAAAACAGAATAGCATAGTACTTATAGTTTACAAACTTGTGAGTTATTTAAAATATTTCATTGAAGTAAGCGATGACTGGTTGCGCGTACCACACCTAACGTTTCTTGTGTGGGACTTCATCCGTATTTCACTATAAGCTATCTTATTATTCCAACACAGAAAGTTGCGTAAAAACACTGATAACTGTACATCAGCAACATCATATATTGTTTCGACAAAAAATGTATTTTAGCATGTTATAGATGCACACTGTGGCTGGGACTGATCACATACTTGTGAAAATGATCGCCACTAACGAAATGTAAGTTCTGTTCGAGCATACGTATGCCGCTGACAGGTACAAACAAAGAAATATCTTTTAACGCTTAGTGTGGTGGGAAAATAAAGTTTGACCTCCCCTTTAAATAAACTAGCCTAATTAAAACTGGTTTAATGTAATACATATTTCTCAAACTTTCTGGATGATAGTACACGTTCCAGTGTTTAAATGATAGCTCAAGGTACGATCATAGGCTATCATGATATGGCTGAACATTCAAGCAAAACGTGTGTACGATGTGTGCATCTTCATTGACTAAATAATTTGGGAGGAACAAGAAAAAAACACCGCCAATGAGCACTCAACGCATATCAAATATAGTTTCTGAAAGGACAATAAAGCCAAAATCAGTAGGGCCAACAACTTTTTATATAAACGATATCAATCAACACTCCATCGTATTTCAGTTTACTGAGATCGACCTCCTTGAGAAGGACTGATTGTTTGATGATGGAGGGGAAAAAGTCCTGTTGGTTGAAGATACTGACAAAATAAAGAGCTATTTAGACACTGAGTAGTTGGTTATTCGATGTTGGAAATGCGTTTTATACCTCTCATATACTAACTGTTGCCCTACCTCCGGTTTGCAATGGTATCTGACTTGATAAAAAGAAAACAAAGTATTTAGGAGCGTCAGTTTCTCTGCTTACCTGAGGATTTTTATTAGCTCTAGTGCCAGTGACCGACAGAATTTCCATAAGAATGTAAATACAGTTTTCGGCTTTTAGCCAACTTGTGTTGCTCATGGTGTCCATAAGAAAACCAATCTTCTACGAATGATTAAATGTACAGTGCACCAGCTTGCTATCCCACAAGGGGGAAGTATGAGAAAGCCTAGGATTTTTCACTACCACTTTCGTCATATTACCCTTTCATGACGGAAATAATGTGAGGGTGGAAAGTAGTCTAAGACAAAAATTGAGGTCAGTAGATTAGAATGCAAACCTTTATGGACAAATTGGTCAGGCATTTGCTACACACTTTAAACCTTTACCTATTCCAATGCCTAAAGATAGCTGCAGTAAGGTTTTGTCGTAAGAACTACAGTGACAAGACTAAAACACAGTCCCTATCCATGAAATATGTCTTGATAGGGTGTTAGGTCAGGATCCGCGACATAAACAAAACGGATAGGTAAAATTTGTATGACAACTCAAAACAGACAACTAGAGCAGATACGTCTACACTTTACCTTCATTTTATAGGAAATATGACATTTTGTTATTCGCCCTACTTACCCTTTTTCGTTTGTTGGCTACCTAACGTCTGATATCATTTTCAATTATTCACCTTTCTTCGTTACATCTAATTTGCATGTTAGTCTGAAGTATGGCAATCTTGGCCGCTAAGCAATGATACTATGCTCAAATTTGTCAATATCTATCTGTTCAAAAGTTTTAAATCCCCTTTACTGACATCAACTTGACAAAGTATTACCATTTTCTAAGCAGCAGATGACTCGAAGCTTATTACGCAGTCAACAAATCATATTACCTTGGGAGCTATTTTATATATGTTGTTCTTAATATGAACAAGATTGCGACTCACTCTCCATCTACTTGAAGTTGATTGACTCACACCCACAATACTTCAGAATAAAGCTGACTGCAGCACTAACCTCGTTTCGCCTAAAGCTGCTTGTATTAAAAAAAATATATATATGGAGAAGGATAATGTGGTTTAAGTTCCCAGCTTTGATAGTTATATTAACTACGGACAACGAATCGGTGGTATAACTTTGTCGGAAACTTTTGCTTTTAAAAACATAAACCTGGCAAGATATAAGAAACAAGAAATACCTCATACTGTTGAAAATATAAGCGTCATCATTAATGAACCTAAAATATTACGCCGACATTTTCTCTATAAACAAATGCAACAGTTCTAGATTCGTTTAAATCCCGAAATAGTGTATTGGCACAAATTAGTTAACCATATACGTGGTGTTCAAGAGAAATTGTATTGAACTACTACTTATATACCGAAAATCAAATGGTTTGTTGGTATGAGTAAATATTCTTTAAAAGGTTAACAGGCGAGAATCAGAACCATTAAAAGACGAAGTATACTTTGAACTACTTAAGTCGATACTCGGTGGTCATCGAAATGAAATCTGAACACTCAGAAAAGATATAACCATTTGACACTGCTAGAACTAGTGGAATATTATTCAAGGATTAGAATGATCTGTAATGTTGGAAGATGCCGGCTATGATCAAAATACGCACATATAACGTTAGATAACCAGTCAAATAACACACACAAAATACTAGGGTTAAAAATAAACATGAGAGTTCTTGGAAACAATCTAGAACAGTATAGAAACTTTTATAGTAGTAGTCTCTAATGAATTTCAACCCAACAATACTGAAAATATTTAATATTATTAACAAGTTGAACATACATCAGGTGTTGGTGAAGGCCTACTTAACATGTAGACTCAATGCAGCAGCAATTCAGTATACCGGCCATGCTCCGACATTACCAGCAAAACGACAATCAGAGCAATCGCTTTTTCAATACCGAAATCCTAGGTTTTTGAAATATCATTCAAAGAACGCAGAAGACGATGCTACCAATCCTACATACATTCCAAAACTCCTAACTAAAATTCACTTTAACGTTCAGGCATATGACAATCCACTGACTTCAATGAATTACATTAACTAATATACTATTCGTTTGTATTTTAATATTAGTCAGTATGTATTAGCGAAAGTCAAAACACAGCTCACCGGCACACGACTTTGTTTTCCATATTTTCTTCAACAGAATTATTAGAGCGATAAGATGTGAAAAATCCCCCAACAACCTAAATATGTTCATGCTACTTTGCACCGAAAAGTTTGAAAATACGCAAAGCACGCATGATTCCAACACCCTCCGTCCCAGAGACATTGAAATAGGGAGATTGTGGTACGAAATACCATTAAATTCTATAGTGAAACTGTTTTGTCATGGATATATAGTTCTTTTAAGTTTTCCGTATCCATGGGTTTACACTGAACGGCTACTACAGCTTCAACATTCAGGAGTATAGATAGTGAGAGTGTTAGATACTGATAGATTTTGATCTCTCGCGTCTGGTTGCTCGGACTTACTTCTTGTTTTTCGGTTCCCTTCTACAGCGGTCAAGGAAATCTTTTCTGCCTTCCCTCTTTTAGCGCCAGTGAGGCGAATGCTTTTGTGAGTTGGTAATTGTAATTTGTAGAGTGATTGAGGAGCTACGGATTGCTGAAAAGATTAGGGGTCTGTTTGGGACTCTTGCCTGTATAGATGCCAGAAAATAAATAGCAATATAGTGGGAAAAGGCATATGGGAATCAAACGAAAGGTAAAAGTACATGGCATCGGTCAAGTTGTTAGAGAAGATGCATTTACAGTACCGAAATCGGAACTCATCAATAAATTCTTGGCACATACAACTTTAGTAGTGAATACAATCCAATTTACCTGCGACTTAGAAAGTGTAGAAGGTGAACTAGCAAAGTTGGATTGCAAGATTAAACGAACACAAGAGGGAAATCTAGGGACTAGTGTCTACAGGAAACCTACTGATGACCCAAATATCACTGATGCTCCACTTATATGCCTTGTCCTTACCCAAAACTTTCTAGAAGCCATGTGTAAATGTTCCGTTTGCGTTTTGTGAGTTGTCTGTGGGGCACAGTAAAAGTGTCTTCCGGTCTGATGTACTGCACAGCGTTTTTGCACCTAATCACTCAGCGTGAGTTTATTGTTTCAAGGAAAAGCTTAAGCACCTCCGGCTTATAAGCTCTAACAATGTTATAATTCACTGTTAAGTTTGGTAAATTCATTGCTTTTGCGAAAAAGTGAGTACGGTCCCGTGATTGTGTTCTGAGTTCGCTACCCTGTCAAAAGGTCTCCATAGGATCACCTACTTTAGACAGTGAAACGGTTGCGTACCACTGAGGCAACTAGCCAGACTGTCTATCCTTTCTTAGGGTGTTCTACACCAGAGGTCCCTCGAAAGACGTCAGAAATCCATTTTTACACATAAAGAATAAACAGTAATGACACAATTGTAAAGAACGCAGTTCACAAGCTTGGTATCTGAAAACTCCAGTTACCGAAAGATAAAATAGCTATCTGGTTGAAAAATGAAAATAATGTTATGCATAAATGTGGAAATCTGCTTGAACAATGGGCTACAAAACACCGAATATACCGAATCGAATTATTTGCCTTAATTTTTTTCAATCCAAATATAACTTACAAGTGTGTATTGTACTCTTGTAAATTTTTGAAAGGATTCTAACCTGACATTCTTGGAGTCGTCAGTATATTACATGGAAAAGGTCTTTCAAAAGTACAGTAATATACTACATCACTTCCCCTAGGATTGTTGTCTGCAATCGTGGGATTTTGCACTGAATAAACGAACAGCCAACGCCGAATTAAGCTCGATTGCGTATCACTTTTAACGTCCCTACAGGGCGCTGATCAAAGACCAGATTGCAGACTACAACTACTACCTTCAATACCGCTCACTGCAACATCATCCGTATGATAATTTTGCCTTAAAATCCTGCACACTCAAGTAATTCAAATTCGACAACTCCTGAGATTCGATATGCTCCGAATTAAATACTCCATCAAAAATTCTGTTAACATGATCTTGTAGGCCATAATATTGTCACCCCTCTTCCCGAGATAGCCCAAGGCAAATAAGTTTAAGTGTTTCAATCTGTCACAGCCTGTCTTCCCCCTTAGTCCCACGACCGATTTTGATGCAGATCTTTGTATTTTCTCAAGGGGATTGGAGTCTTCCTTGGGCGTTGGGGGCACCACCATGTTTAATACTTCTAGGTACGACCGTACGTGGAATTTGAAAACTGCGAGAAACATTTCGGTGGTGAGAACAGGAAGGGACATCCGTTCTGACTGTCATTTCTTTGTAGTTAAAGCTGGAGTTCAAGGTCTCCAAGAAGTTGAGCCCAGATCGTTGTTCGTGGACACTGGGGATGGCATGGTCTCTGAGCCTGTATTCTATTTCGGCCGCTATAGCCCCATTGGTATCGACATCCAGACTGAAGCCCAGGCCACTTTCTGACGACCAGTGTTCCAGTAGCTGCAGGTTGTTTCGGAGTGCTGTGCAGCCGGCCTCTTCGGCCACTACACTCCAATTTTCTGTCACCAGTGGAAGGGAGGTCAGGTGTGGAGATTTTGTGTGAGAGATCGTTGACAAAGAGGAAGATCGTATTCAGTCCCGGGATTGCCCTTGAGATACCCCTGATGTCAATGATCTCCACCCCGACCCTATTCCGTTTACCCTCGTACAGAACTGTCTGCCTTCTGCGTACGCTTTATACCAAGCCAGTAGATGTCCGCTTATACCGGCTGACGACCCTACGAAGCAAGAGTCTACATCCAGTTGCCTGCTGACCTACTTTTCTTCAAAGTATCATGCTTCTGAAAATTCTCTTGAAGCTTTCTAATCTATTCTTTGGAGGATTTACGCGCTGTTCTAATCTTATTTGCGCTCCTGATTGCTTATGTGCATTGAAAGTAACGAGGTTGCGTCATATCATTCGAGTCCTAGTTTTTGTTTGTGAGTTATTTGAACTGTTTGGTAGCGAGATTAGCCAATACAGCATTGCGAACAGTCTTTTTGGTTGAATTTGTTCGTAATACTTTCCCTCCCTTCCTCCTGCAACGAACCGTTCGGCTGGCACAACGTACGCCATAGTTACTTCCTTGGTTTGCGTGCCACTCCAACTCCGAATGGGAGGGACAATCGTATGGCTGTTTCTAAGACGTCCCTGATTTAGGGTAGAGTGATGCGTTCATGCCACCCATTCCTCTTCGTTGATACACAGTTTTTGATAAAGTACTGTGCACAATCGCTGACTTTTGATGTTTTTCCGCTTTCACTAGCAGTCCAGTCTTTCAGCATATTTGGGCTGTTCTGAATTGCTTTCCTTCGCAGCATTTCTTATGGAATGTAGGATGGTTGCTGTTGTGGTTTGGTATCTGATCCGTGTAATTATGACGCTCCCGTGCATCTAAATTGCCACCTCCCATCGTGTGTCCTTCCAACAGCAACACGTAGGAGGGGGATTTTGTCATCCGATTCCTCCTTCTTCGGGAGGTAATTTCTCTCAAGTAATTGATTGGTTAGTCTGGGCGCGTTTTCTACGAACTCATCGTTAACTCATGGGTCCAAACTTTTGGCCTGGTAAGAAGGATAGTCGCGGATTCTAGCGGCTGAAACACTGCTCCGGAAATCAATTCTGATACCAGCGATCCCGGAGGTGTACCCCTTTTCTTCATTTGTAAATCGTCCCATTGAATTGTGTGTTGTCGGATACATATATCTCATCTCTATTAAGTCTGGGAGAGTGATTTTCTTGTGGTCTGAAAGGTTACGATCACCATCCGGAAGAATGCTCAGTGTCTTTTTGGATAGATTCAGGCCGCTTGGAGTAAAGAGTGAAACCGCGTGGGAGAATATCATCCTTTCGCCGTCTTCTATCTTCAAATCTTTACTTTTTCCAAAAAACATGGTGCCTGAGCTGGCTTAACATTCACTTCCACTGATGAGGGGCTTAAGCCTTCTACTTATCTGTTTCCATAGATTAGGTGGTGTCCCAGCTAGTGAAACTGTTGACGGTGGTAGAATATCTGGTGCGTGAATCTTGGGTCAACCACAGGAGTTCGATCGGGCGAGTCCATTTGTCTTCATCCATCTTCGTTCTTCTTTTGTGGAATGATCAGCCTTTACTAAATTCTCGAGTTTTCTTTGGATCTGGTTGTCCAACTATTTAAATAGGTTTCACTCTAGTGGATGGTAGTCACTTTCATCGTTGGGTAATACTTGCGCCTTTTGATATCTTCCGTTTTGCTCATGACAGTGGCTTTCCTTCCTTTATCTGATGGCGGTACTACAACTTCCTCCTCAGTCACTGACTATTTTTGTTCATCCCTTTCTTTTGTGCTTAGTAGATTTTGATTTGCTGGATCCACTAGAAGTCAAGATTGAGTGACGTACTTCACGTTGTTGCTGATGTTTTCAGCATAAGCTCCAGCGAAGCGCAGAAGTCCAGTCTGCTTGCCTTTCTAGTGTTGCAATTCAGTCTCTTGTGAAGTAGACTGTGCCGCATCCCAGATAGTGGACGTTCCGAAGGATTCACTGGACATGCATCTTTTAACTCCTTCTTTGTTGATCGAGGCACTCTGAGTAGTTCGCTGTTCATTTTCTTTCTTTTATCGCCTTCGTTCTCGGTTGTCATATTCACGACCGTTATCAGTTTATTCATCGCATCTACTCCAACGGTTGTCTCCATATTCGTTGTTGTATTACAACCATGTTGCTGTGTCTTACTGATCTGCTGTTTGCGTCCAAAATCGTTAGAAGCACCATTTTTGTGCCTATTCGCTGCATTTTTCCACTCATCAAGGCAACTGATTGGTAATCTGTATCCAACATATTGTAGTAAGGTTTTCCTCCACAAACATTTGTGCAGAAAAAAGTTGCTATTGAATGGAACTCCTTTGACTGGTGAAGTCCCTCCATTTCCTGGCACAGAGGACCACAATGCACTTAAAGGAGTTTGGGATGACAGAAAAGACTTGCAGATAAATTTCAGGAAGATAATGGTTCGATGTCCTCCGGCACGCTATGCTTCCTTGATGACAGTTCACCCCCATGCCTCGACACATGTTCGCCACATAGTTCCCTATGAAGTTATAGTCTCGTATAAAACCAGGTTTGATGATGAAACGCCCACTATAAAATACCGAGGAAAACAGGTAACAACGAAATGCTCTTCAGACTGCAATTTTACGATTATCAAAACCTAGGAT